ATGTCATTAGGATAGTGTTAACTAGTCTTGACTAGTTATGGATTTGACTTATTTCAAAGCTCCATATAATGTCTATTGATACTAATGGAATATGGTAAATGGCTTTGGGAAAAGAGATTGCTGACATTTAAGTAGCTTCCTTTGAATATAAATTAAGGATGTAAGATTTACCAGTTGGAAATTTACCAAATGTGTTCACGTTTTTTTCAAGTCTAAATTGAGTAGAAACAAATGGTGTCTTTTTACAAATGAGTTATCATTTTCATCAGACATTTTTATTCTTCTTCTCTACCTCACCAAGAACATTAAACAAACCTGCAAACTTCAAAACACATACACACAAGTATCTTAAATGGGTCATCTACTTTTGTACTCTTCACAGAGAATAAAAAGGATTTAACTTTGTTATGCTGAAGCTTGTGAAGGAGATATAAGGTGGGAAAGGAGTAGATAGGACAAACAGGTCATCAAGAAATTGCAGAGAAGGAAAACATCTGAAAACATAAACCTAAAGGTTGATATAATCCATGAATGTTTGAGAGGAAGGAAGAATGCTCTAGGAAACAAGAGATTTTGGGTGGATTTAGATTGATGAATGGCAAAAGATTGTGCTCGAGAAATAAAAGTTATGAGCTAGTGAACAACCATGCCAGCATTTGAAGTAGTGTAAGAGTTCTGTAAAAGTTCATCATTGTTGGGTAGAAAGTAGATGGAAGTGACAAGAATGGATACAGTAAGGATAGTTTAAGGAACTGCTCTGGGAATCACTGTTAGAGGGTGACTTAAACTAGATAAGGTGTAGTGATGATGGGAAAAAGCATTGAACTAAAAATTATTTAAGTTGTAGAATTAATAGAACTTTTTGAATAATTTGAAATGAGTAACAGATGAAAGAAAAGGGTATACTATCTTAGGTTTGAGGTAAGTATTTGAGAAAGATCATGGAAGGATGGATAGATTCTCCCAATGAAATGAAATTTAATTAAACTTGTTAAATCAGAGAAAACATTCTGGAAGCCAAGAGAAACGTTTTCCAGTAGGAGTTTGTGAGTAATCAGCAATTCATTAAGACAAATATTTGTTCAATTCCAACTTTGAATCTGGCACAACTGGAAAACCATGTGCAACTCTTCCCTCAGAGAACTTACAGTAAAGTGGTGGAACATAGACCAAGCAGTTACTCACAAATTGCACTTTAAATTTCAGTGTTGTAAAGGATAAGATTATTATAAAGAAGGCCCTCCCTGGTGGCACAATGGGTTAGAACACAGCACTGCAAACTAGCTTCAGCCGCTGCAATACGAGTTCGATCCCCAGCACCGGAGGTGATCCACATAGTGTGGCAGACCTCTCCTGACCTGCCCACTGCTCCCCTCAGCAGTGTCCTTCATCAATCTGCCTGTACTGCTTCCCACTCTGTCTCTGTTGAATCCTCTCACCGCCCCCTGCACCTCTGGCCTGTACCCCAGTTCTGTATACATAAGTCTTAAAAAAAAAAAAAGTAACAGGATTTTAAAAAATTTTATTATAAAGAACAAGAGAAGTAACAAACAGGTATATATCTGTGAAATCAGGAAACCCTGTCAGGATGTGCATTCTGACATAAGAATTGAAGAACAAAGAGGGGCCAGCATGGTGGGGAGTGGGAGGATAGCCCTGGCAATGTATCAGTGAGTGCAACGGCTTTCCTCTGGAAGGGACAAGGCCATGTGCCCTGAGCACCAAAAGTTATCCTGAACTATTATTTTATCTTTGGAATGATCTCAGCTAGGGAACCAGCCATTGGTGGAAGTGTGGATATAGACAGGGATATTGGAACATTTCCATCTCAGGTTGAGAAGTCATCTGGAGAATAAAACTCATTGTTTAATTTATTAAATATTTAATGATTCCATGAGATATATATGTGTTATGCATGTGTGATATATATGTGTTGTGTATGTATGAAGGAGAGTGCCAGAATATTGTTTTAAAATCATCTTTACCTCTATTATGATTTGAGGGATGATTTATATATTCATTCTTTTAAAGTATATAATTCAGTGTTTGCCAACTGTTTTAAATTGTCACATTACTTATTAGTATTTTCCCCTCCCTTGGGTGGAATGATATACCAGGGGGAACAATGAAATGTTGCTCTGGTGAAGCATTTATTAGGGACAGTGTGTGGTGTTTATTTTTCCCAAGAATAGGTACACTTCCAAACCCTCCATTTAAACCTTAAAAGAAAAGAAATCATAATATTTTTCTCTATTATGTCAGAAGACAGTTTTATCAACACAATACACATGCACACAAACTGGCTATCCTTTCTCTTGACTGCATTCAAGCCTGGCATTGCCGCTGGTCATGCTTGGCCAACTGTGCTACTCTTTCCATGATGATTTGTGGTTCTTTTATTTTTTAAATAGTATTAATTATTCATGCAAGCATAAAAAACTGGGGTATAGGGCAGAGGTGCAGGGAGTGAGAGGATTTATCAGAGACAGATTGGGGAGCAGAACAGGGCAGATCTATTGAAATACATTGCTGAGGGGTAAAGTGGGTAAGACAGGAGAGTACCATGAGGGTTATCTCCCTGGGCAGGGATCAAACTCAGGTTTTAGAGGTGGTAGAGCAGAGATTTAACCCCTAGGCTACCAAGATGGCCTGTCGTTGTGGTTCTTAGAGGAGAGAGAAGCAATCTTAGCACAGTAAATCTTACTGCACATCAGCAGCTCTTTGAGCTCCTTGACATTGTGTGCTAGGAATTTCCGGAAGCCCCTGGGCAGCATGTGCTGTTCACTAATTGCTCTAGTAACCAATGTTGGGCATCAAGATCTGGCCTTTGAATCTTCTGCACAACTTGTTTTCAGCGCCTCTGGGTTTCCAGCAGTCATACTTAATTTTGACATATAAGTCTGATTGGTGCCAGATGAACTACTTGTTTCTCTTATTGACTACCATGAGCTTCCTGAGGGGTCTGAATCTGCAAACCAGGATAGGAGATGGCTACCACCTCTGTAGACAGTGCTGAGGAAGAGAGGGAAGGTCAAAATCACAATTTTTAAATATCACCCACATTCTCAATATTACTTAAAACTTCTTCATACATATATTCCTCTTACTAGTGTTGTTTAATTCAATTAAGATAATCCTCTGGTATCAGTTTCCCATAGAAAAAGCTGACTCAAGTTCAATTTACATTGGTGTGGTAATTACTTAAACTTTTGTTCATCCAGCCATAAGGAAGATAACGTTCATATTCTCATGGGGGTGTGTTGGTGCTAGAAGTGGGAATTAAACTCATACGCTGGGCATGCCCAAGGTAACATGGATGAACTTGTCATCTGTTATTAAGGAAAAATGTAACTCAGAACTTTGTATCACTGACCCATATGAAATACCTCATTAATTATTTGCTGTTGGAATTTCAATTTTAGTAAGGCTATTTAGGCATGGTGATATAAAATTCAACTCCTACTTTCTTCCATTTTTTATAGTAAAATGTGGCTATTGTTTAATAAATTGGAGCAGGACACTTTTATATTTATAAAAGAACAGAATTATGAAAAAGGAATGAGACTTTGTAACTGTTTTTTGATGTAGTATATATGGCTTATATGTTCTATAACTTTTTTTCAAAAGATATAGATAATGATGCTACCTTACTTACAGTATTGTGTGGGAACAAAACTTACATGTGTATAAAATGTGAAGTCTGATTTTACTTTTGAGAATAGTACAGCTTAAATGTCTTTGGACTATGAGGAATAATTTAACCTTCACTTCATGGGAAACACAATAGTTGCTTTTGCTGGTAAATTAGCTCACATTAATTGAAATATATGCAAGTATGATTAAGATTTTGATCGTAGAAGATAAACAACATAATCACCATTTTTTGGCACTCTGCATTATTATGTTAAACTTTATTTTTTATTTATTTATTTTTTTAAGATTTATTTATTTATTTGTACAGAACTGGGGTACAGGCCAGAGATGCGGAGGGTGAGAGAATTCACCCGAGACAGAGCGGGGAGCAGAACAGGCAGATCGACGAAGTACACTGCTGAGGGGAGCAGCGGGCGGGTCAGGAGAGGTCTGCCACGCCATGTGGTCGCCTCCGGAGCAGGCGGGAATCGAACTCATGAGGAAGTGGCTTTAGATTCTCAGTGCTGTGCTTTAACCCGCTGCGCCACCAGGGAGGGCCTAAACTTTATTTTTTTTTAAGATTTGTGCATATAAGAACTGGGGTACAGATCAGAGTTGCAGGGGGTCAAGGATTGAGAGGTTTCACCAGAGACAGAGGGACAGAGGGGGAACAGAACAGGTAGACACTGCTGAGGAGAGCAGCAGGCGGAACAGGAGAGGTCTGCTGTACTATGTGGGCCAGCAACCTGGCCAGGGATCGAATTTGCGCTTGTAGTGGTTGTAGATAGCTTCATAGTGCTATGCTTGAATCCTGTGTGCCACCCAGGAGGTCCCTATTGTTAAACTTTCTTAAGTAAGTGTAATCATGTAGTCATTACCCTGATGCATGCCTTTTACTGTGTTAAAATATGAGTAGTTTCCATGAATTTTGATGCTATATTTGACCTTTTTTTTTAGTAAAGAAATTGCACAAAATACTAAAGAATAATCCAAGTGTAATTGCTTTGGTAGTATGTCTCATCTATTAGTCTTTATCTGAAAGGTGTAATAATTAGAGGGCCATTACTGTCCCTGAGAAGTTTTAGTCTCCTTTTACATTTTTTTCTTTGATGTAGCTCTATTTCTTAGCTAGTATGATAAATATGGTTGAAACTAAAAAGTAATGCTATTAATAATGAATAATGTGTTGGCAGCAATAGTTCTGGTAATAGCAAAAGTGTCAGAGAACTCATTTTTCTTTTAATTTGGTGGAATGGTAGATGAAGAAAAAGTTGTAATGAATAGTATGATAGAATGGTTAATATTATAATAGAATGAAACTTTATTTGTTTTAGTAAAATATTCACACTAATAAGTAGCCAGTTGATTACAAAACACAGTTGTCAGACGTCAAATTATTTCTCTTCTGCCTTTCACTGTAAACAAATCAAGACTTTTAGATACAGTACAGAATAATGGAAAATGACACTAAAATATTAATGGCTACATAGATTTAAAAGATTGAAAATGACAAAAATACAAAGATCATGAGAAAAGACTAATTGTCTACATGGCACTCAGCAAATTTGGAATTTTATCAATAGCTTTGTATACACAAATTTTACTAAAATTGTGCATAGTATAATTATCAGAAGATTACATATATTACTGAGCTCAAAGCACTGTGGTTCTTAGTAGGATTCGGTCATCTTATTAGTTATTGGAAATCCAAATTTAATTCTGTTTGCAACATTTACTAGAAAACACATAAGGTAAGTGTGCCCCCATGTGGCTATAGTATTTTTAAGAATTTTAAGGAAGGTCTAAAGGGAAAGAGGGCCTTGTTTGGTTTTATTACTTACCAATTATTTATACCATCCCAAACATGGGGTGGTCACCTTGTTTTTAAAGTTAGTCTATGTCAGAATATTCACAATTTCTCCTAGAGTTCTCCTAAATAATTTATTTTTAGTGTCCACACATGTTAACCAACACATCCACCTGTGATTCTAAAGTGGTATACACCGAAAACACATATGCCAACTTAGAAGACTTATTTCTCCTCATATATATTATATTATATTTGATAGCGCTAAGCCTGAGTGATTACTTGATTGAGATGTGGGGCATGAGTGCTCCACTGAGGACTGCTGTTCAGTTTGGACAGCCTTATGCTGTGTACCTGGCCATACCTGGTTCCCTGTCTTTAACACAGTTGATAGGTAAAGATTTATTATCAAAATTCTCAACTTTAAAATAATTCAAATTAACATTTTTCTAATGAGAAAAGTGGAGAGATAATATTGTATGTATTTCCTTGTCATAAATCCCCTTCAAGAGTGAACATTTTCTTTGACTAAATTGGAGAAATAAGCCAATAAAATGGCACATTTATCATTGAATAGTCTGTACTGTATGGATACTGTTACATCTCTGCAAATCAAATGCCTCAAAATTTGGTAATACAAAAACAAAAAAGGAATAATGCTGCATTTTTCATTGTTCTGGAATTTAAAATAGGCCCTAACACGGAAGTTTATTTCCAAGCAAATTCAGTGTCACTGATAGATTTTGGTAACTGTAACAATTCATATCAGTACCAGATGTAAGTGATAATACATTAAATTTCTTAAGTGAAAACATTGTGTTTCATAACTAGTTTTATTTCTAGAAAGTTAATGTCTATTCAAATTAAACAAATAACATCACATTTTATATATTGAAAAGCATACCTGAACAACAGTGGGAGAAAAAATAGATTAGAAAAGCCCACAGTCTTTTAGATTCTCTTTGATAATTATATCTGTAACTGCATCAAACACAAACTTGACATTTTGGGTATCTGTAGCACAGGTCATGTGGGAGTAAATTTCCTTGTCTTCCTTTTTTAAATTCAGATCTAGAAACCGATTCTTGATGTAGTTCCCTGCATCTTCAAATGTATTTGGCCCTTGAAAAAAATTGAATTTTAAAGATCACAAAAGTACAAATAATACCAGTATGTTCTAGGACTTTAATCTATATAGCTATTTGATATACTCTGTATTACAAAAAAATAATAATAAGAAGAAGAATGATAACAGTGAATTATTAAGGGTTTGTGGAATATATACATTGTGATAAGAACAGTTTATTCTACTGGGGTATTAAGTGAGAATGGGCTGTATCATTAGATCTGAGAGTAGAGTTGGGAAACAGATGAAGAATCTTGTTGGAAACAAAAGATTTTTAAGAATGATTTCTAGGACATCAAGTAGACTAGATGGCTTGGAGAAGATTCTGGCCTAGTCAGTCAAAGTCATTAAGATGGGCTATATTAGACTATGAATAACTATCTTTGATGATTTGGTATAGGTAAATGAAGAGCTAATGCAAATTGTGCTTAAGAAGGTTTAGCCTGTTAGTAGTCTACACAATTTATCAATCAGAAAAAGGCAGAAATAAAATAGGAAGGCTAGCAAATACAGGTCAGCTAAAAGTTACCTATTGATTGACTTTAGAATAAAATCTGCTCAGTAGGGACTTGGTGTGGGATGCATCAGTAGCATTAATATTTTCCAAAGAGATAAAATTTTGTTCCCCAACTACTTACTATAACTAGGAACAAAATTCCATGAGGGACAATTTAGAGCAATGTAACCACTAAAATCCAAAACATAGACAATACTTAGTGTTGACAAAGAATGTAATCAGAAAAACTCTTACTGATTTCAGTGGGAATACAAAATGGGACAGTCTCTTGGGAAGGCAGTTTCTTATAAAGGTAAACAGACCTATTAAGCCATCCAGCAATTGCACTTCCGGGTATTTACACACAAAATGTATGCACAAACAAAAAATCCTGCATGTGGATGTTTATAGTAATTATTCATAACTATAAAAATATTGGAAGTAATCAAGATGTCCTTAACTATATGAAAGGATAAAAATACTGGCTTGTTTATGGAGTAGAATATTATTAATAAAAAATGAACAACTCATTAAAAGAAATGGGGAAATTAAAATGCATATAGCTAAGTGAAAAATGCTGTTCAGAAAATGCTGCATACTGTATGATTACAGGTATGACATTCTGAAAAGAAATCTATAGAAGATTAAAAAGATCAGTGGCTGTCATTGACAGTGGTTGCAGGAGTGATTGGAGGCATTAATAGATCTTTGGAGCAGTGAAATTAATCTACATAATACTGTCATAGTGGATATGTGACAGACATTTAGCAAAACCCATAGACAAAACATCAACTCTAATGAAAACTATGGGCTTCAGTTAACAATGTTAACTGTTCAGTTAACAATTAATGTCTGCTCATCAACACTAATGAATGCACTAAGCCAGTGTAACATGTTAAAAACAGAAAAAAGTGGGAGTTAAATGAAGAGAGACTACATGGAAACAATTGTATTTTCTTTTTATTTTTTATGTACAGTAAATATGGCTTTAAAAATAAGCTATTTCAAAAAAAAATAAAATATATAAAACAAATCACTAATTATACATAATATCTATTGTGATAGGATACCTTGCTCTGACTAACATCTAGGCAACCTGGAAACCTAATTGGTGATATTAGATTTGTATTTGTTAACTCATAAATATTGCCATCCTAAATCAATCTCATTAACAACAGAGCATAAAACTATTGACAAAAAAAGAAAAAAAATGAGGGGAAATAACCCTTCTCTCAAAACTGACATTTATAGTATTGACATTTTGTATTCCTGTTATGTAAAAAATAATACAGTTTGCAATACAGTGTGATACATTATATAGAGTAGCAGCCCTGGTCTATCTAATCTTCTCCAATTTATTCATTAGAACTATAATTTACTGCAGGCAGGGCCGAAGTTTTTTTACTTGTTAGATTTTTTCCAATTAGAATTACACACTGGAGTAAAAATTTATCATCAGCCTCAAGCTCATAAATACTATATGTTAAGATGCAGACTGGGAAAAAATACATAAGAATTTATGATCATGGAACTAGTGTAAATGAATCTTACCAGTGTACTCTGGAAAGCAGACGCTAAGATGCACTTTGGTTATTTTTTCTTGAAAGAGATCTTTTTTATTTAGAAACAAAACAATGGAGGTTGTTGCGAAATACTTGTGATTACAGATGCTGTTGAACAGGTGAAGGCTTTCCTGCATTCTGTTCTGTTAAGTATAAAGGTGAGAATGTAGGGTTATTATTTGTAAAATAGTGTTCATCATTTTATACAGGACCTAAAAATAACAACTATCTTTGGAAGAACTTTATTGAGTTGAGAAATGTGGTTGTAGCACTTGATTTTTTTTTAACCCTGCTTTTTGCCTCGTAGACTTACCACTTCTTCATCTTCCACCAACACCATATCATAGGCACTGAGTGCAGCACAAAATATAATGCATGTAACTCCTTCAAAGCAGTGAATCCATTTCTTTCTCTCTGATCTCTGTCCACCTACATCAAACATTCTGCGAGGGAAAAAGAAGAATAATGCTTCTTATGAATACCTTCCAAAATTTGCATAGGATTAACATTTATTTATGAGTGGATGCTCTCAAACTTGTAAAGTTTAAAGTGTTGTTTTAGATTTTCATTGATTACAAGTTAAGGTTTAGCTGTTTGGCTTACAATTCAAGGATGCAGGAATAAAGTTAATCTTTTTTATTTTCCTTATTTAGACTACAGTAAAATAATTTCACATACTGACTTTATTGAGTAATTTAAAGCAGTTTAGTGTGTACCCAAAAAATTGGTTTTCTTAGAAAATTTTGAATCTATACAAGTTTTCTTAAACTAATAGAACCTATAAGAAAATTGTAAGCTACTATCTTATTTTATGATTCTTGCCTGTTTTCATTCATTCACTGTTTTATATATATATATATATATATATATATATATATATATATATATGTAAAAGATTTATTTATTCGTACAGAACTAGGGTACAGGCCAGAGATGCGGAGGGTGAGAGGATTCACCAGAGACAGAGCAGGGAGCAGAACAGGCAGATCGACGAAGTACACTGCTGAGGGGAGCAGCGGGTGGGTCAGGAGAGGTCTGCCACACCATGTGGTCACCTCCGTGGCAGGCGGGAATCGAACTCATGTGGAAGTGGCTTAAGCTTCTTTGTGCTGTGCTTTAACCCGCTATGCCACCAGGGAGGGCCCCACTGTTATATTCTATAAACTGAACACTATGCTTGACCTATACATACTATGACTAAGATACTGTCATTAACTTTAAAAAATGTGCTGTCTTGTAGAGAAAACAAATGTTATTACATTATGTAATAATATTCTAATATACAGTGGAAATGTGGTCCTAGACGAAGATATGTCAGATTGCAAGCTCATAAAGTGTAATGAGAGGAGGTGTTTGAAAATGTATCCCTCCTCAGTCTTTTTATTTTTGGTAAAAGGCACCATGATGTATATAGAAACTCAAAGAAATTGAGTTCTTCTTGATACTTCTCTTTCCTTTATCTTTTATACAGTACACAGGAAAAACTGATTCATTCAATTTTTTCAACTTCATTAGTGTAATCCACCAACATTTCTCACCAGGACTGTGGCAAAATTGTCACTGGTATCTTATAGCACTCAGGATTTTATTTTGATGTAAACCTAATTATATCTCTCTCCTGCTTACATCTTTCAAAGCCTTCTTTTCCTTTCTGAATAAAGAATACATGGCACCATTAAGTCTATAAGCTGTTTGTTTGGTTCTTGCCTCTTATCCAAGCTTAGTTCAGGTCACATTTTTCTTTTTGATACAGTTAAATTACAAGGCTATTCTTTTAGTTCCTTTGATATAAATCTAACTTTTTTCTTGCTCCAAGACTATTGCACAGACTGCCTCCATTCCATGTGTTACTATTTCTTCCTTCCTTTACCCTTTTCTCTTGGAACTTTTAGATCTCAGATACCTCCTGCACAAAGCTTCTGTGTCTTTCTGTGTCCATGTAAATTGTATCTGTCTCCACACCAACTTATTTTTCAAACTCATCGTGTTCTTTATTTCCTCTATAGTAATAGTCATAATATATAATTAGCTGGTTTAGTTTTTGCATGATAAAATCTACAGTCTGCCTAATGGAATTGTGGCCTTAAAAGTCAGGACACTGGTCAGTATTAATGACTACTCTATTACCAGTTCCAGGCACGGTAATAGACATGCAATAAATATTTTCTAAGTAAATAAATATTTTCCATTTTAATTGGATGGAGGGGGGGTTTTATATAAAGTGCATGTACAAATCATCAAGGTGTGAGAAAATATGTGTGACATATTTGTTATAAGCAAGTAATTTATATTTTTTGAGAACATGAAGACTAATAAATGAGACTGTTCTGATATAGCTTGACATATAAGAGGTGCTTGATAACTATTTAATCAACAAATATTTATTGAGCATTTATTACATGCCAGTCACCAGCCATTCAATATCAGGAACATTTTAACCTGATGGGGAGGGAGATTGTAGAAAGGAAAAAGAGGGAAAGGGAAGAGGAAGAATAGATTTAGAATATTAATATGCTAAATAGGTAGGGAGAATAGGATGTGTAATTTGAATATGATTGTTTTAAAACAAATTTAGGTAATAGTTAAACCTGAGCCAAGTGAAATATCTTGGGAAGAACCTCCCAGGGAGAGGCAATAAAACAAACAAAAAAACAAGAGCAAAGGAATTAGCTTGTACTATTAGGCCATAAATAGATTTACCAGATCTTTAATATCCCATAAGATACAATCAAAGATTTTAAAATATGGAACAAATATTTTTTGTTTGCTGCTAGGTCATTTTGATCTCAGTCTAGAATATAAGTCTAATGAGGAGATTAGCATTGAAGGAAACCTTTGGAGTTTTCATCATAGCTTATGTTGAAGATATTAAGTACCAGTATTCATTCAAGCTATCAAGAGATAGCAACTATATGTGGGATAATTTAATGTTGACATTGGGTTTAAACCTAGTTTTAGGTGGGTTTTTCAAACTGAAAAAGTATCTCTACCCTCTGGATTTTAATATGTAAGAACCTTCATAGTTTTTGTTTCCTCTTTTGCTTAAATTCTCTTCTGGGTTTTATGGAATCAGTGTAAAGTTTACTGAAAGAAGGAAATGATTGTGTTGAGTGAACCCAATCTTTAATTTCCACAGAACTGGCACTCTTGAACCAAATCTGGAACTCCTTAGTTAAGTTTTTCCACTAAAACAGAACTTCAATTATCCTTTTAACATTATTTCTAATCCTCTTTTTCTCTACTTTTATGTCCACTGTTCCATTTCTCTCCATTCTGATATTTTCTCCCTTTAGCCAGGTTTATATTTTCAGTTATATTTTATTCAAACTTTTAAATCAGACACTATTCTTTTCTCCTTAAGGTAATGTAACTGCTCAGATTTCCTGTATGGTGGTCAAATATTTTACCTTAAGGAAGAAAGTATTATTTCTTTCATTTCATAGTTTTTTCTTTCTTTCTTTTTTTTTTTTTAGTAATTAGGTTCCTGATCATATATTTGATACTCCCAATATATGGGCTTTGTGGAAGATATATGTACCTTAGAAGAAGGGACATGGAAGCTTCCTACAGGTTTCTTTTTTATGATGCATTTATTTTGAATTAATTTCCCAAGAACTGAAACATCTGAAAAATCTATGAGATTAAATCAGCAGAACTAAGTTCACAAATCTTATTGACTGAGTCCTCTTCTCTGATGATTCATCTTCTTTGCAAGCTACTATTGTTATACTAGCTATGTGTAAGAGATAGCTATTTTATCTCAGGTAAATATGTACTATTAGTAAAGGACATAATTTTTGTAATATGACTCTGAGCCCTGTGTCCTTTCAACCTATCATGTAGGTTCTGATAAACATGTTTTGATCGGCTTAACTTTCTCATAAGAGGGTACAAAGATTACTTACCCTGGGGTATTATTCATATTGATAAAATGGCTTCTGAAAGTCTATCTTACTTTGCATGCTAATAATCCTCTCAATTTGTGATTCACTGGATAAATTTTATATATATATATTTCTGTGCAGATTAACATTAGATAGATCTTGGCAGCCCTGACCGTTTCTCTAATGCCATCTGCTACTGCTATTAAACTGAAATACTTACTGGCAGACTAGAGCAATGGCTGGGGTTTTACTTTTGTATGGGGGCTCCTGAATATTGTGTTATTAAGAAAATTTACATTTTGTTTTGCTGCTATTGTAATGATTTATTTTTGACACATTTTTTTCATCTTTAGTTGTTTCTCTTCCTTTAATTCAGGGCTTGTTTTAGAAGTACCAAGCATTAGAACCTATTGCAAAAATGTGGAAATTCATGAAGTAGAATATTTATTTTGAAAATTTCACTGAAGCAATCTTTTATGTATACTTAATCATTAATTTGGGTATAGTATTTTTGCTCTATTTCTGCTTAATAATACACATTTTATTAAATTTTATAGATGAATTAGGATTCTTTAGTTACAAAAAGATTTTAATTGCCTCAAATGGATAATGTAGATAAAAATTAATAGACAAAGCTTTTAAATGATAGCTGAAGCTCTTTTTTCTTTCTGCTGACCTTGGCATTAATGTAGGGCTAATCAACAGAGTTCTATGACTTTATATTAAATATTAAACAGTTAACTAAATATTGTTCAGTTTTGTAGTCTATTTTAAACAATTGGGAAAGCTGTTGTTTTTGTGGGTTCATTAAAAAATTTAGCTAAAATTTTGATCACATAAGATTATTCACATTTCACATCAGAACAATTATGATATAACCTGCCTTTGATAGTATTTTTGAAGTCATTACATAAGCTAGGATAGGTAAAAATGGGTAATCTTGTTGCAGATATTTTGTTAGAGGTCTTGGATCATTCTATAAGCAATTGACTATTTTAGGGAAAAAAATCACAATTTCTGACATCTGTATTTGACTATAGTAAAATAAGATTTAATTTGAGAAGGAATTTATTATTTAAACTGTTCTGTTGAGTGGGATTTATTCAAAATATTGAACTCTATAGTTGGTATAATTTTCTAAGACAGCTACATATGAGAGTCAACAAATGAATCTGTGCCACCGCTACACAACCATAGCAAAATGGCCTAACCGCTTCTTTCCTTTGTACCAGCTATGGAAAAATATCAGGGTGGATACTTGCAAGTCATTCTATATTTTTTAGATGCTTAAAAATAGATTTATACAAAATTAGAAAGCACACAAGTATTATGTGCTTTGAACTGTGTATATCTATAGCTTAAAACACTCATTAAATCATTCTCTAATAGGCATTAAAATAACTATCACTAGAATAATTAAATATCAAGTTCTATAACTTGTGTCAGTAGCATTAATGATGAATATATCTCAAACAATTTTGTACCAAAAAAAAAAAAATGTTATTTTTGCTTAACAGCTAATCAAGAAAAATTGAGGTAGATCTGTTGGGTGGCCAGTCAAACTGAATCCACAGCTTATTGAATCTTCTCCACTAAAATGAGCATAATGTATATGATTCAACTTCAAATTCAAAAAAATTACATTTTATATCATATATCTACTCAAACATAGTAGAAAATAAGTTATATTTTTTGTTCCATGTTTGTTTATTTTGTTTTGTTACAGTATAGTCTCTGACTTCTTTTCCTTGGCTCCCATATGTTTCAATTTTGTTTTTTGCTAGGGAATAATTAGTGATAAACTGACTTCTCTATAATTGTGTGATAAATGCTTGTAAGTCTATTTCTGTGTTCTTTGTTCTGAGGAATGCTTTTATAGCAGGAACATAACTCACATTTGCATTACATTTTCTATCTCTAACATCTGTAAAGATAGTACATTTTATCAGTTTGATTTTAAGACTTCTTAATTTGATAAGAACTCTTAAGATAATTTCCATAAAATTGGGTGATGCATGAAGATTATACAGTACATTGGCAGAGAGAATTTTTCATTTTGTTGTTCCTGTTTAAAATTCTAGACTTCTATAATTCAATATGTAAATTAAGTATTTAGTTTTAAATAGTTATAGAATGATTTATGCTATGTGAATGCAAATTAATGCTACTGAAATATTTTAAATACCTGGGCACTTAATGAAATAACACTGGAAGTGACATTATTTTTATGTTTCCTGCTTTAAAATACTATAAAATTTTATACTAAACAACCTGTGCAATTTTAGATAACCCTATTTATTAATTTAAAAAAGTGATTAAGCTATAAGAATTCATTAGGTGATTAATATGTATGAATTGCAGCGATTAAGCTTAAAATATTAAATTGTTCCTTAAAAAAAAAAAAAGTAAAATTTAAGTCCTCGAGTACAGAGATGTGGATTAGGAAGATGTGTGCGCGTGCGCTCGCTCGCGCACGCGTTCTCTCTCTCTCTCTCTCTATTATATATATATATATACATATAATTTCATATCATATCTTCTCAAACATAGTAGATGTGTGTGTATACATACATATACATACAGAGATACATATAATAGAATACTACTTGGTCATCAAAAAGATAAGCTATTCCATCGCAGCAACAGGAATGGATATAGAAGGGACATACTAAGTGAAATAAATCAGAAAGAGAAAGACAAGTACTGGATAATGTCACTTATATGTGGGATAAAAACAAAACAAATAATAGGGTAGATAATGTCAACTAACAATAAACCCCACAAAGCTGAGTGTAGAACTGAGATTATCCAAGAGGTAGAAGAAAAGACAAGAACAAATTGAGGAGAGAACAGTTGGAAGTTTAGGAGTATGGGTGGAAGATTATAAGTGTTTTGATGTTTGGTGAGGGGTACTAAACAATGAAAGTATAGAAAATGTTATGTCAGAATAGAAAACGTAAATCCCCAATTGGGCTTTGCAATTCAACTTAAAATGTCTACATTTTAGCATTGATACTGTAATGATTAATAAACTTTTCTTATTCCTTTATATATAAAAGTAGATTAGTAGTTGACTATATATATATGAGTTCAGACAGTGCTTCACAAAATTAACCACAGAACTTCAAAAGGACAGGAAAATGATGATATACTAAAAGAGGTCTAGAGGATCTAATATGAAGAGGCCAATTCTAAGGGCAACATCTTTAATGTTTTGTTTTTTAAAAAATAAAGCAAATGCTATGTTCTATGAAGAATATAATTAAGCTCAAATTTTTAATGAATATTTATACTGCTTATTGCTGAATTAAATAATTCTGGAAATGAACATGATTTTCTGAGGTTTTGTGTGTCCTCTGCTATACTGGGCTTAGCACTGACTTGTGAAGTATCACAATCTTGCTAACACAAAGATACTTGCCCTCCAGACTGTCATTACTTCCTCCCCCCTTCTCTCTAAAGAGAATTATGAATTACCAGCAACATTAGGAAAAGCATTTTCATTGCTTAAGAGGAATGGTTTGCACCACAGCCAACCTAATAGCCCATCAGTGATGAGCAGTGTAAGGAGTATGGACTTTCAAGACAGAAAGATGTGCATTCTGATCACATTTCGAGTGCTTCTATGTGTGATCTTAGGGAAATATTTCAGCTTGTTTTAGCCTCCATTTCTTGCAAAAGGATAGCAATGCCCAATTCCTTATGTTACAATGAGCATGAAAAGACAGTGTTCATAAAGTGAATAGTACATTCTATTCATCGAACAAGAATTGACTGCCTGCTGCTGCTAGCCACTGTGATAATCACAGAAAATATTTGTAAACAGATAACCTCTGGCCTGCTAGAGGTCAGAGAATATGAGGCAGAAACTGAATGAAAAAACAGAAAACACTTAAACAAGGATTAGTAAGATTTTTAAAAGAGAAAAAGTCAGATTTTTTAATAAAGAGAAAGATAGTATGATACTCCAGTGGTGGCATGTTTAGTGTTTGCATTTCTTGCTACTCCTGAATTTAGTGGCATCATATTTGTAGTTTGCAATTGGCTGTTGGCAGGGTATTTATACCAAGGAAATCATTAAGTACCATAAGTTAGCCTTTCTCTTGCTGCTCTAGACAATTCTTCATTTATCAGCATGTTCTAGTGACAGGGTTATGTAATGATGTTAGTAAATGGGATCCCAAGGAGATAACATTTTATTTGCAAACTTAATGGTAAGAAGGAGTGAGTCCTCATACAAATCCAGGTTCAGATAATTTTAGTCATATAGTGCAGTGGGGTAGATGCCTTAAGGTTTGGAATGGTTGAAGAACAGAGATACAGAACAGATAAGTATGACTGAGTATTTATGAGAAGATGTTAACTTGGGCTGGTGTTATAGGGAATGACTAGGGTTGTGAGCTTGTAGGTGTTCAATGTGTGACACTTATTTTATATTTTTTTTCACTGAGGTAACACTACAATACTATCTATAATTCAGAGGTTTTCACAAACTGGCCTGTGATCTTAACAATCTCTGATTTTAGACAATTCCATTTGCTTATTCAAGAGATGCTAACACTGAGTTATAATACTGCCTGACTTCATCTTTGCAAGACCCTTATTAGCCAAGTAAAGAAAAAGGTATTCTTTTCCTCATTATATGTTGCTAGTTAGTAGAACCTAGGAGTGAAAGTGTGATAGGACTAGCTTCAAGACTTACCCTCAGCTTCCCTCAGCTGTTTCAATGAGAAAATAATAAGAGTGTGCTAAAAATGCTCTCACTGGCTCAGAAGAGCAGGGGAGAAGTAGATGGACTGCTTTTCCCAAAATAAAACTCTAGAAACTTCATTAAAGGTCAGGAGTCTGGAGAAAGTGGTTGCCACAGAGGACTTGTACCACAGTTGTGACAGAATGAAGGCAAACTTGTCTTACATTTGTCAGGAGGAGGTGTTTATACTTGTCTCTGCAGTATCATTATACTGCTTTGATTTTTAGCTCATCTTCAGAAAGTTAACTATTTGTGGGTCTGAAATTCCAATACAACGTTTGAAGCATTTCTTCCTTAACAACTTGAAAGTATTATTTTTACCATCTGTGTCTTAACAGGTCTAATTATATACTCGTATCACTAATTTTAGAACTTAACTATTGTAAAATTTTACCCAGTGAAATAAATTTTCCTCACAAATAGATATGTCAACCTTTCCTATAATTATGTCACCTTTTCTAAAGATTTGCTTTTTAAAAATTTTCATTATTGCATACATGAATGATTTCAATTTAATTTTATTTATTACTAAATTGATATTAGTGTTACAGCTGTATACTGGTTTTAATGTTTAATATTCTAATTCTTAATCTATAAGGACAGGTACTTCAGTGTGAACATACATTTTCTAACATACATTATGTATTTCCATTTCTTGATACAGCAAAAGTAATTTTGCAATAGAATATCTAGGAAAGCCTTGATAATACAATATCTATGAAAACAAAGCATTTATTTTCATACCCAAACCATGATTTCAAAGTAGGTCTTATTACTCCAGTAAATATCATCACATTCAAATCATTTTCTTCTAAATTATTTGCATTTTTTTTAAATTAAGGAAAAGATAAAAATAATTTAAGCAAATTGAGTAGTAAGGAGGCAAAACAAATAGGATCCCTGGTACCTGTAACTTAAATGTTATTTAAATATTTTCTTTCTTTTTTTTTTTTTTTTGGTAGGATATCAGTTTCCTGTATGAGTAAAACAAAATTTAGATCAAATCTGCTCAACACAGAGGCATTTTCTTGGAGGAGAGGGGAGATTCAGGATAAGAGATGGGGAAAAGGACCACAGAGGCACATACAGAACAGTGGTAATGGTATAAATGAGACCTGAGAGCTCATTGTCCTTGAACATGGGTTCGAATTTCTCTGTATGAAGGCATACTGAACATAATACATATTTCTGTTAGAATGAGAAAAGGCATTTTTTCATACCTGAAGTGCAAATCTTTAAAGGAGAATTGAGTTTCAATGATTCCAGTTGTTTTCACCCGAGAATGAAGAACATCTTGTTCATTTGGGACATACCCAGGAGCTGTTATTCTGTCTAAATCATTAAGGTAGCTAATTAAAAGAACAAACAAGATGGCATTTAGATTTTCATCACTACATTTGAAAATGCTAGGATTTAATACAAATAAGTTTATTTTAGGGTAGATGAAATTTTTTACCTCCAGACTTTTTTTAACTCCAGTTTTTTAAACTCTTGAGTATCAGAATTTTAGGCATTTGGTGGCTGAGATGTTACAGAGTTAACCCCTGGGACTGCTTTTAATGGTGGCTAGATCAGTGCTGTTTTAGTTCATGTTATATCAGGTATATGTGATAGATTAGCTGGGCAGACCTTTAGGAGAAGAGATCTCTTTATAGACCCACCACCCCTGCCTTGTAACTTTCTCCAAATGTGCTATCATATAGTGGTCACTGGTCTCAAAATAGTTTGAGTTTAGGCACTTGAATTTTAAGAATGGTTAGTTTTAATATCATAATTTGAAGGTTGTTATATTGTTACCCATGGAATGTGTAGCTTAGGACTTTGAGTCATTTCATTAAGCGCCGTGATTATATCTAGTAAGCTTGAAGAAAGAAACTTGTGACTTTCTTGGTTAGTTCAGTACTGGAATTGACTTATGAAATTGCTGACCCATCTCTGAGCTAGCACTCCTGGGATAGAAGTTTGAATTTACACATTATACCCATTACTACACATTTTTTTTCTCTTTTGCTAGTGCAATGGGGTGTCCCTATTTTAAAACTACCATTTCTCATGTGTATTCTGTTCTCCTGTCCACAGGAAAGAGGAGCAGTAAGAGTAGGAATGAGTTCGATTCAACAATGTGCTTTATAGAATCTTATTGAGAGGAAAGAATCTGCTCTTTGCATCATTCTTTAAAACAGATGTCTTTATTTTAAAACAAACTAAAGTGTTTTATTGCTTAAAAACTAGCCAATCAGTTGAAAACCTCCATCCTAGACTTTCAATACTAAGGTTTCAGTAGCTTTTAACAGCTTAACTACTTCTGAGAATATGTTAAATAGAGGCAGTAAAATCCTGCTAGGTTCTTGGTGATTACTTTGACCATTACAGTGAACCAAGTTTAGTTAAGTAGAATGACAATGGACATATAGCTAGTCATGCAAAATTTTAGGAAAGTCAAAAGAATATTATTTAAAGTAAAATTTTCTAGAACTAAGTTGAAGAACTGACATTTTGGTATCTACCATAATCACTTTTAAAAAGAAAGGCAAAAGGCAAAATTAGTCTATCAGTTTTATAAAGTAAGTTCAATGGCAATATAGAAATATATTCTTAGGTAATTTAACTTACTCTTCAGATAAAATAAGCGAAGAATGGCAAGTGTCCCAAAGGGAGTTAGGCCAGGGAAAAAATGACAGTCCCACTTCTGAAACATATACATGTATCGTAAAAATTCATTGCCATGTTTTGTTCTAACAAGGTTTCATTTTTTTTCTTTCAAAAAGAAGTCAAATATAGACATATCAAAAGAAAGTATTAAAAGATTTTTCTAGTGCACTTAACTTTTTTATCTTGTGCAAAGCAATTTTGGTGTGAATTCCTGATTAAGTTTGATTATGTGGTAAGCATACTATTTGTCAGTTGGTTCAAGCAAGGACAGAAAAACTACCTACCAACACAGATTAATAATTAATAACTTTATTTTAATAATAGCTAAATAAATGTTTTGGTAAAGACATACACTTTAGTGTATTTTAATTTGCATATATAAATAATTTCATGCAAAGCAATAGTATTTGGTGAGTGACAAATTTGCATATACGGGCCCTCCCTGGTGGCGCAGCGGGTTAAAGCACTGCACTAAGAAACTAAAGCCACTTCAGCATGAGTTCGATTCCCGCCTGCCCCGGAGGCGACCACTTGGCGGGGCAGACCTCTCCTGACCCGCCCACTGCTCCCCTCAGCAGTGTACTTCGTCGATCTGCCTGTTCTGCTCCCACTCTGTCTCTGGTGAATCCTCTCACCCTCCGCATCTCTGGCCTGTACCCCAGTTCTGTATGAATAAATAAATAAATCTTTAAAAAAAAATTTGCATTTACTATGCTTGTTTTAATAAACAAATGTAGGATTTAGATGTTTAAGCATCTGATCTAACATATAAACCAAAGCAGAGAATCTAGCTACAAACCCAATCACTTAAAAATGATGCTTCTTTTCTAATAATGATGTAATTTGTATTTTTTTCTGATGCAATCTATGATAATCATACCACACATGGGATTTTTAAATAGTACTCTACATGACCTCAATCAATAAACCATAAAAATATTAATTAAAATCTTTTCAGTTTGTCACTGTCCTATACTTTTCTTTCAAAATTTGCTAGTACTTATGGTTTGGTGGGGGGTTAATGTCAGTAACAAAGCATTCACAAAGTCCTCTATTGAGGACTTTGTTAGCTTCTGCTTTAAAGGGCTACAGATTTGAGAAAAGAGCAAATATCTCTTTCATTAAAAAATAGAAATCTGATATTGATTTTAAAATGTGGATGTTTTTCAGTATTGAAGAATCTGTCAAATTTGGGGGAAGAACAGTGGCATTCAATTATTTTTCTTAGTAAGCTCGTAATCTTTAATTTAATCTTTGCCCTAAGGGCAAAGAAAAGTTAACAATGAATTTTGTTTTCCTATGACACATTTCTCAGTTATGAGGGGAAGTAAGTTTTCCTATTGTTATTCTTCTGCCTTGCAAATCAACCTGGGTAGTTAAAAACTACTACAGTATGGGCAGCATTAGCAAAATGGGTGCAAATAGATACTCTGTAGTTATGTTTAACCTGAAAAAAAAAAAAAAGAAAAATGTTTTCACTGTGAATCCATAATATGATAGGTGTTCCCAATGTAAAATATATTTTGTGTTTCAAAACAAAGGAAAAAAAAAAAGCTAAAGCTTAAGATTAGACAGTCTAGGAAAGTAAAATGCTATTTCTCCTGCCACTTTTGACTATATAGTTTGTGTGAATATACATATATAATACATATATATGAATAATATATATATATATACACATATATATATATATATCCTTGAGGAATTTGGTATATATATTATTAGGATTGCAGAAACATTTCTTATATTTTAAGGGAAAATCACATTTAATTAATGTCATATGTCCAAAACAATATATTATAGTTTTTTCTCAGCTTTCCTTACTCCTTCCCAGAACTTATCAGATTTTTTCCACATTTGATTTCTTATTGACTGTGACTGCCTTTATACATGACTCATATAAGAAAGTAATGCCTTTGTAGTGTTAAAATTTGGCTGGGCCATAGGACACATAAATGTTAATAAGCGTATGTTAATATAAGATGCTAGCCATTCTCTGCTTCATTAGAGATAATAGGAGATAAAAAAACACAACTGTCCTCCAAAGGCTGTCTGTCTTTTGATTTTTGGAATTTAAGATGAACACAAACAAGTAATTGCATAAAACTGGTATTGTTATCTTAGAATTAATGTGATCTGCTTTCTCGTAAATAATTCTAACAAATCTGAAGTTTCACATGTTTCATTATTCTCTTCTCAATCTTTTATTTGCTGTACTTTTAGCTTTCAAAGTATTGTTAACATGTTCTGATGTTAGTTTATTAAAAGGACTGTTTGTAACTTTTCATACATTTTTATGAATGGACAGAAATGTAGAATAAGTTACATTTACATATATACACACATGGTTGCAGGCATATAACCATAGGATAGATTAAGAACCATTACTAAAATGAAACTTTAAAATAATTTTGATAATGAAATTATAGTGTCCAGCCTCCTAATTTCCTTATGACTGATACTTTCTAAAAGGATGACTAACTATAAAAATTATATAATCTTTTTGAGTCTCAAAAAGAATCCCCTAATACAGATGTCTTGGAAATACATTACTTTGTTCTAGAATTCTGTATTGTACTTATCAGATCAGTGGAGTCAAAGAATGTGTCACTAATAAAATGTTTTTGGAACAGGTTTTCAGTAACATGAATTGAAATGCAATGTATAGCCATATCCTCAGCATGTGTGTTACTGGTAGGCATGTTGAATGTGGTATACAATGATTACCTCTTTTTAATTGGGAGAAAATACTTATGACATTTGGATTATCTCAGATAAATGACTTCACAATAATAATTTAAAATCATTGCCTGTTTTTAATTTTTTAGATCTCACCTATGTCATGATATTTTTTGCTCTTCATTTTTTTTTTCTCACTAAGATCATTTGTGGTGCTAATTACAGAGCATCCAGAATTTTAATTTAAAGTGAATTGACAGGGACTATATACTGTCAAAATATATTTACTTACTAGGCTGCTGAGTCATTGAGCTGATACTCTGATGCTCGTTCAAAACAGGCTTGAACTCCTGGATCTCCCCATAGTCGTTTTATCACCTCAGCCAACTCGGGCATCATGCCACCATCTCCCAGGACACTTGCCATCTCATAGAGCTCTCTTTGGTCTTTCTAGAGCAATGTTTTCATGAGAAGGGTAAAAATATGTTGATATTTGAAATCACATATTTTTTAATAGAACATTTCCATTTGGTGATTTTTACTCTTTAGGTTATAATTCTGATGGCACATATGCAATATACCCTAAATAGTGCTAAATTTTCTTATAACTGATGCCTCGAAGAGTTTTTCTGCAAAAATTGCTATAGGGATAATTTAGTTTTTTTTTTTTTTTTTCATATGTATCATAACTTCTGAGTATGATGTCAAAAACAAATAATACTTTGGTATAAGTTCATTGACCTTTCATAGGGTTAAAGTGCTTGGGTTAAGGGAAATAAACCTGATCTAATCTAACAATTTGTCTTCCTTTGATAATGACTATGTATTTTTTTTTAGGAAATAAAAATACCATTAAGAATTGAAGAATAAGACTTAGAATGAAAATGGGTAATAGGATGCTATACTCTAAAATTCTATTTTAAAAATAATAATATACAGAATAAAAGAGAGAACAGATATCCTTTCATTACTCTCTACCCTCATTTTCTTCTTCACAGTGCTTACTAACATTTATATAGGTCTCCGTAGTATCTGAAAGTAGAATATTCCTATTGGACACTATTTAATAACTAACATTTTGGGAATGGAACTTCTATTACGCTTAATTTATATGGAAAAATTTTAATGTGCATTTCTCTATTTCACCTATATTGTATTAGGCTATCCACACAAAAATTTTATTTTGCTGACATCTTTATGACTGAGTATAAGATCTTTAGGATCTAAATAACAACTTTTCCTGAAATATTATAAAAGAGAAAAAAATAAATGCTATTCATCCCAGATCTTGTGTTCTAGAAAAACTGTAAGGATTCTCCAATAATTTCACAAATATTTCAAGTAGCTCCAAGAAGGCTTGCAAGGCATCCTGAAGAACTTTTATTTGGGAAAGCTTAGAAATTATGGTGGTTTTGGTATAATTCCTTCTTTAAAGGTGATACAATTATGAAACAATGCTACACAGACAACAAAAATTTGAAAAAAATTGCTCAGATCATTCTCATCAATAACTAGGCACATCAGATAGTCCTAGAAAGTCATGGAACTCATTCTGAATACAAATCATATTCCTATGATTGTGGGAAAAACGTCAACTCCTAACATAGCCTAGGAATTTCTGGTTATATTACCTCATTGAGTTTATACACAATTTTCCAGAGCTTTTGTAATTTCCATGAAATTGTTATTGTGTTTATTTCTAAACTTAACACATGACTTTTGTTGTAGAACATCTCAAGGAATTGTTTGCTTGGTTTGCAACTCAGGGTTCACTTTAAAAGAGTCTATGTCAAATATGGGGAAATAGCCAAATCGTGTATAAAATATTATAACTTTCAACATTCCTTTGTTAGTGAACTGAAGGTTTTATATGTTCTAGAATTGAATATACTAATAATATTCAGAGGCGATAGGTGAAAATTCATGAAATATCTCTATTATGTGTCCCTCTTGTGATACTTCATAGATTTTATTGTCAAAACTCTTGAAACATCTTTCATTATCTTCTCACTGATATCTCTTTTATGAAATAGTTACTTTAAATATCATTTTTATGTGGCATATGCACATTGAAATTCCATATACATGATGGAATACAATTCAAGTATAAAAAAGATAATCTTGTTATTGTGACAACATGGAAGTGGAGAGGATTATGGTAATGAAATGTTATAAGTAGAAAGACAAATACTGGATATTCCCATTCATACGCAATTATAAAAATTGATGAAATAGACAAAACCAAAATTCTAGAAAGCTGACTATTGAGGGAAATAAAGGACAGGGAAAAAATTGGGTAGGAGTCTCAACACTATTGTGGAGGATCATAAGTACTTTGGTTTGGTGTGAGCAATTTGGTAGCATATATCTGGAAAAATGAATACTTAGACCCCTAAGTCATATACAGTTTTGCAAACCAACATTGTAAGAAATAATTTAATATACATACATATGTATGTACATTCTCTTCTACTTTTGACTTCACACTTCATGACAGGCCTTTTCAATTTGAATAACCTTTCTTTGATATTCTTCCCCTGAATTCTGTGTATCCGCATACTCCAAGTTTAGTTCTTAAAATTCTGTCCTATTCTCCACATATTCCTATTTACCTCAAATGGCCAGAAAAATGTTGATACTTTCAACTTTAATATTCACAGATCTGTTCTTTTAATGCCCTTTTCATTTCAGGCTCAGCACTTAGTTGACAGTTCCCACCCCATCCACTTTCTTAGCAAACATTATATACATCAGTTTAAATGTGTGCTGATAGCATCAAGATTTGCATCTCTTTGAACTGCAAATACACATTTTTTGTCCTGCAAATGTCTGATAATAGCTGAATGAAAAATATCTTCCAAATGTTGAATGTGTAGATTCCAATTCATAATTTTAATGAGCCTACATTCAAAGTGATTATTTGAAAAAAAAAAAAAAAACAAAACTAATGTTTACTGGTAACACCTTTTGCAGTACTTCATATCTGAGCCTATTTCTTATTCCCCCCCTCTATTTTTTTTTTTTTTTAAAGATTTATTTATTTGTACATACAGAACTTGGATACAGGCCAGAGGCTCAGGGGCGGTGAGAGGCTTCACCAGAGACAGAGCTGGGAGCAGAACAGGCAGATCTACGAAGTACACTGCTGAGGGGAGCAGCAAGTGAGACAGGAGAGGTCTGCAACGCCATGTGGGTCACCTCGAGGGGCCGGGGACGAACTCAATCGGAAGTGGCTTTAGCCTCTCAGTGCAGTGCTTTAACCTGCTGTACCACCAGGGAGGGCCCTATTTATTCATTTATTTATTTATTCATTCATTCATTCATTCATTCATTCATTCATTTATTTATTTATTTATTTATTTATTTAACATCTATTTACATTGTTGTATATGATTCAGAGGGATAAGTTCATACATCCCCTGAGGTGGATAACCACACCCCGTCTACATCCAAGCACTCATATTCCTTTATCCTATACCTTTGGACCGCTCCTAACTTTGTTCCTACCCATCCCCTTCCTCTCTAGGATACTCAATTCTTCAGTCATATTTGTGGAAATTGTTTTGATCTAGTTTTGTCAGTTCTTTTGCTTCTTTATATTCCATGTATGAGTGAAATCATCCTTTATTTGTCTTTCTCTCTGAATTATCTAAGTTAGCATAACCCTTCCAATTCCATCCATTGTTACAAGTGACAGGATTTCATTGTGTGGCTTTCTAGTGTTTCTACTTCCTTCTCTAATAGTGGTTTGTAATTCAATGAGGAAAGCATCTAAATCTTGTGGAAGAAGAAATGGAGGCTTAGAGAATTTAAGTGTTTTGTTCAAGTTGACAGTAAATAGTACAGCTCTTGTCAGATTTTGTTTGGGATTCTGTGAGATGATGTACTAATGGTTATGTAAAAATATGTAAACTTTTATAAATAAATATGGGGCAATAAGACACCAAAACTCTGAAACTCACACATGGGAGAAGTATTTAGCAATTAATCTATTGAATAAACAGTTTAAAACAGGTAAAGTATATGTTAATCTTAAAATCAAATATAAAAGAATGCAATTGAAATTGCTGTAGTTTACATTGCATAGTGCTGCTTAAATTACTCTGTTTATATCACTCCATGTACAATTTGAATATATTACATTTTTATTTTTTAGTTAACATAATGGCAGTGATGTTCAGAACATAATTTTCCCTCCACCTGCATGCCAAATCATTAAAACTCCTAAACAACGATTTCACACCTTCAGTGATGAGTGTCATCACTGATTTGCAAACACTAGACTGTATGAAACACATTCAGTAACAATAGGCAAGGTTGTAATCTCCAACTTCTATGACACAGATATGTGGAATATTACATGTACGAGTTCAAACACTATTCAGTTTTCTCAAAGAAATGCAGAAGGAACATCTGTTTTAGTAACTGCTAGTGCTTATAAGAAAGAAAATTTAAAAAATGCTTCTAATCATTAAATGTGTTTTTATAAAACCTTATGTAGGAGAAGCACCACAAGAAAAATCAGGAGAAAGGGATATTCTTCTAAACTCACTATTTAATGAAAGCCAAATAGTTAAATCTTTTTGGCCTTTACATTTTACCTTTTTAATAAGGAATTTATACTTGTGTTTTAGGGACAATTTAAAATCCTAGTTTCTTAGCAAAGATTAAACTAATCTTAAATAAAAACGTGATCATTACGTCATGATGATAAAAAACAAAAGGATACTGGAGTTCAGTTCCTGAAGACTCTTCTTATAAGAGGGAAATTGTTAACTAGCGAAGTAGGAGCCAAGTTGTGGAAAAAGCTAAAAATGGAAAGACACTAGCAGAAGTTCTGATTCTGTTTTACAAATCATCATCTCTAAAAATGGCATTTTTGCATTCTTTTGCTCTTAGTAAGTGGCAGAACAAAGTAGATTTATCAGTGCCTTCAAAATTAACATAACGAAAGTTATTTTTGTTCATCTTGATGGTTTTGGGAGGCCACTTCTATGATATATCCCTAAATTCCTGGAGGAGTGGGAAGGAGGGAGAGAATTACAAACTTCATTTTTTTTTTCTGTATAATTAACTGTATTGTTCCTCTTTTTTTATTGTTAGTATAACAAGGAACTGTTGACTTCTCTGAAGGCAACCAGCTGCTCTTGGAGAGGATCTATGGAAATTGGTGAGTTCTTCCCGTGGCTTGTTAACTTACTCTTTTTTGGGAGTGATCAAAATTTCTTACAATAATACTAGATTCCTCACCTGCCAACATGCCAAAATAATTTGATGCATTTGCACATAAACTGTTTTAAAATAAGTGAATTTAAAATTATTTTATGAAATGATTATTTAACAAGATATACAAGATAAAATATGATGTTTAGATGCTAATGTATAGAAAGAAGCTGTGACTCAAGCATATTATAAAAACATTTTAGTCAAGCACTTTTTAATTCTTTTTTTTTAATTAACATTATAAAGTAAGTATTCCCCTGTTGCCATATAGGCTTTATTATTGTCACTGAACATTAATGATAATTGAAGTGTTATTATTAAAAATCAGTTCATGAATGTTTCATAATTTAACTAAGATATAAATGTAGAGCTAAGTAGATTGCTTTTATGGAACAAACACTTTTGTATTTCTAGCAAATAAAAATAGAATTTTTTTAAACATAATACATGATTTGACAGTATGTTTGACTCTTGGGAAAGCAGTAAATGTTATATAATTATAGTACATAATTTAAAAATGTTTCATTTAAAGGAAATTAATAAATAAACTTAATGTAGGATCTATAATTGTTAATATCTGCATACTTACTGAACTTTTTGGATTGGCATAATCAATCCCAAGCGTAGTCATGGCTTTTACAATAGCTAGAATGGATTGCACTATATTACTGTAAATTACTGCTTTGAACTCCATACATTCTTGTTCACTGTAGCCATTCTTATGGATGATCCTATAATGTAAACAAGAAAAAGATTTTTGTGAGTTGAACAAGGGCTTACAATACTAAAACACATCAATAGTAATTTGCTTGAAAGAAATTGCAGCATGTATTAGTTTTAAAAGGAAGAGTTTTTTTCTATATGTATATGCTAAAGGTGAGCAATTCTATGACTTTAGATGTTTGTTATCACTGTCTTTAATATAGCATTTTCTTTCTGAGTGCCTCATGCTAGTTATCAAAAGGATTTAGCATTGTCCCTAGATAACCAGTATGAATAAGTCATGATCATTTTATATAAAAAGCTTATTTTTTTCCAGGCAAAAATTTTCTAGATTCCCAGGGCAAAGGTATCTATAGTGTTCTACAATTTTGTGGTGTTTACAGCATGTTATTTAGAGGAAGTGAAGCAATTTAGTAGAACATTCATGTCTTTTCCTATCACTTAAGGCACCTTGGAAAATAGGAGTGTCTGTTTTCTATTTATAGCATTAACAAAAGCATTTTTTTAAACTGTTAATTATCCACTGTTAAATCTCTAGTCACTTTTCCATCTGTGTACGTGCCGCTGAGTGTTCAAAGTTGAAATGCCCAGACTTATTATTTGGCTGAACTCTATTATTTGGCTGAACACTCATTCAATCAGAAGTCAAGTCAACTCAATAATACACTAATAGTTTTTGAATAATAGCTTAAAATAGATTTATCTATTAAAAGCTAAAATTTTTACATATGCTAATTTATTGGATGTTTGACAATGTATTCTTGTTTTTATTATTTTTCTTAGTTTTGGAGGTGCTTTGTATTCATTAGGTATCATTTTGGATATTATCATATTAAGGATTCACTATACACATGGAGACTTTAAGGAGTAAAAAGAATATAGGAACATATAGGCATATAGAAATAAAAGAATACATATGCCCCTTAAGATATTAAAATTTATAAATGAAGGGATTCTGCATTGAAAGGAGCAAATGTATTACCTATATATATTATTTTTTGTTTTAATTTCCTGATTGCCAACAATTACTTTATTTCTGCTTTAAATTTGACTATTTGCCATCTAAATCAAATAAGTGATTTAAATAGATAAAGGCTACAAGAGTGAGTAAAATGTCTTAAATTGAAAGACAATTACAAATAAATTGGGGAGAATTTAGACTTTCTATATGGAAAAAGTTCTGGTTCCTAAACTTTCATTATAGTATGAACAAATATCTATCGCACGGCAAAATGACAAAAGCAGACTTTTAAAAGTTTACAGGACTTTAAGCACTATTGTTTTGATAAGAGCTGCATAAATTTCTGTGAAATCTATTGGTTACTAGGAATGCTCAAATTAATAAGCTTAAGCTAGGTATTTTATACATTGTATGTTGAGATAATGAATAAATTATACAAGTGCATCATCTGAAAAACATAGATTCAAGTTTTATTATCTAATATAATTGCCACTTGACCCACTACTTAAAATATATTCAGTTTCTTAATACATTAACCATACTTCAAATACTAATACTAATGTGTGTAGCTGCTACCATATTAAGGATTGCCAATATAGAATTTTCCTAATATTCAGTTTATTATAGTGTATCATATTAATAGAAGTCATAGCAGGTCACCCCAAGTTTTGTACAGTGTGGTAATGTCCAGCAACAATGACTGCAAGTAGTATAGAACAGCAAAAGAGAACTGGTAAACTCAATGGAGAGCAGGGATCAAGGGTCAAAGGGAGATTTACTGAGATCTGTGAAGGCCAGTTATTATTGGAAGTTAGTTATTTCCAGATAGTCAAAAGGACTATTGTAGAAGAATCAGTATGATAAAAAATATCTGTTATCAAGCCATAAGTATGTGGTAAACATTGTTTCGAGGTGTTTTATATCCTTGTCTTCTTGTTTGATACAATAAAGTAGGTAAAATTGACACCTATATTTCATAGGCATAGACAAATGAAGCCATACCCATACTCAGTCAGTGGTACTGCTGGGCAGCAAATAGTTCATTTAGAGCCAGTGATATTAGTCCGCAAGCTATAGTGCCTTCTACAGGTTGCTAGTCCATAGAACTATGTAAGTTCAGCATTTCTGAAGGAGAAATGATGGGACATGAGGATAAAGAGATTGTCAAGAGCTAGAAGCTTGACAGTATAGGCAATACTTTTAATTTAGGAAAGAGATACAGGCATTATAAAAGATCAGTTGGCGGTAGTGTCAATAATGCAATGGAAAGTAGAGGTGGGAGATAAAAACCATTTAATAAGATACAGTCTTAAGTCACATAAAAATGCTGAGATTTTTGAATTAAAAGAAAGAAAATGACTTATTTAGAGATATAAGTAACATGGAGTAATTTTGTGATAAGGTGAGGGGTTAAATATCTACACCCAGACTTACTAGTTTTGCACAGATATTGTTAAAATTCATTTTAGGAACTAGAGATTGGTTGACTGGGAAGATAAGTTTAGTGTTACTTATTCTTAGTTGGAACTGTCCAGAGGTAATAGAAATAGACCTATCTCCTTCTCTAGGTTACATAGTATCTGAGTTTGAAGGAAATATTCTGGATGGTTCCCTTGAAGTTGATACTGAAATCATTGGACTTGATCAGTTTTCATTCAATAAAAATTTAAAGGAGACAGATAAGAGAACCTGGTACATAAAAGAAACCTGTAGGTAAATAACAAAAAATCTTGGAATGGAGTCAGGAGTCTCTAGAAAGAGTTATCCTAGAAACTGTGCCAAAGTTTTAGGACAGATAAACCCAGTTGAGTCAAGTGGAAATAAAATGTGGTATCTGAAATTCATATAAAAATCACAATTGGGAGATCACAATTGATGTTTATAAAGGCAGTTTCTGTGACATGCCAAAGACAAAAGCAGTGGAAAAAGTAGGAGAGTAAATAGAAAATAGAATAAAGAGAGATGGTGCTGATTATTTTTTAGGTACTATTGAGAAATAGGAGAAAGATGACAAAATAAGGAGACACATTTTCTTTAAGCTTTATTTATTTATGCATACAGAATTGGGGGGTACAGGCCAGAGGTGCAGGGATGGTAAGAGGATTCAGCAGAGACAGAGTGGGGAGCAGAATAGGAAGATATGAAGTACACTGCTGAGGGGAGCAGCTGGCGAGACAGGAGAGGTCTGCTGTGCAGACATGTTTTTTTAAAAATAAAGGTAATATTTGGTCATTGAATAATCCCAACAATTTCAAAACAATGGTATAGTGTAACTAAGTCCCACTACTGAGAGCAAGTTTTTGTGGTTATTGATTCATATTATGATTTTAAAAAATGACCTATTTTGTCATAGTTGAGATAAAAATCATGCAAATTCACATTTTGGTGTTAGCTCTGAGAATTTACCCCTGCAGTATCAGGGAAACCACAAATTTATATTTTGGTTTCTAGCTAATAACATAAACATTTTCTTCCATTAGAACTATTTTTATATCTATATATAATGGATCCAAAATATTGAAATTAAAAAAATGTACAGTTCCATAATTTCACAATCTGGGTGTTTCTTTAATCTTAGGAACTTTTTTCTATTTCATATTCATATCTTCATATTTGAGTTATTTTCAAACTTTTTTAAAAAACTCAAAATTCTAGAAATATATTTATAAACTCAATGATTTTCTTCAACTTGCAAAGTAAATTGCAAGAGTTATTTCTTCAGATTTGCTATAAAGTATTACTCTGAAAATAACAATGAGAAATAATCAGTTTCTCAAAATCTCACCTTACTGGACAATATTATTTCAAAATTAGTTCTTACTGGTATATTAAGAAGAAACCAATCTTGTGATTGGTTTATTTTTCACCTTTTTTTAAAAAAAATACTTATTCATATAGAACTGGGGTACAGGTCAGAGGTATAGGGGCGGTGAGAAGGTTCATCAGAGACAGAGTAGGTTGCAGAACAGGCACAGAAACGAAGTACACCGCTAAGGGGAGCAGCGGGCTAGTCAGGAGAGATCTGCCACGCCATGTGGTCACCTCCCTGTAGGGGATCGAATTCATGCTAAAGTGGCTTTAGCTTCTTAGTACTGTGCTTTTAACCCACTGCACCACCTGGGAGGTCCTATTTTTCACTTTTTATATTTGTTTAAACTAAGAGGTACACATTTGGTAGATATTTGAATTTTGTTTATGTGAATTGTCTATTCATAGTCTCTTCCCATTTATATATATTGGGCAGCTGTATTGTTTAACAATCTCTAAGTATTTAGCAGATTAGTCAATTATATATTTATCATATTTATTATTGATCTTCTAATATTTCATCTAATTGGAAGTATATACTTTGAAATATTATATAAATAAATAATTGGTCCTTTCTTTTTTTTTCTGCATTTAGCCTTACAGAAAATGGAGAGGTAGAGGGATAAAAGGGACTAAAGCACGATTAGAAGCTGAATGAAAAGAATCAGTGAATACAATGTTATATTATAAGGGATGACTCAGGTTCAGGGATGGAGCTGAGAAGACAAAAGCAGTTGATCTGGGATAGTGGGTTAAAGGAGACAGAAAGGAGAAGGAACTCACAACTTTTTATAGTTAAATATTCTAGGAGAGTTCAAAAGTAAGGCTTAACTACTGGTCGATATGGAATGTACATGACATTAGCTAGCCAAAAAAACAAGGTCCAAAGATGAAGACCCTGGAAACCTTGAACATTTATTTAAAAGTAGCTTGAAAGTGATTGCCTTCTTTACCTATAACAATTACTGTTCTTTAAAAATTCTCCCCACTGGAGGGAAATGCACTGGACTATGGTGATGGCACATCGGTGATTTGGTGATGGGAAGCCCAAGGGGATTACAACTGAGATGGAAAAATGCACAAAATGATGTAAAAATAAACTATTATTAAAAAAAAACATTCTCCCCACAAAGTCAGTTTTACCTTTTAACCTCCACTTATCAATTTCCATTTTACTCATTTAGACATTGCATTCTTGTATTATAACACTTCATTCTCGTTATTTCCTTATTAAGAAATTAATATTTGCTTATTTCACTATGAGGAGAAAAGTAATTACAGAGAATAAGTGAAATAAGTGAACTGAAATTCCTGATAATAACTATTTTTAAATATGCATTTCTGTCCCAGCTAAACAAATTACCCATAATGTTAGAAATATTGTTTTCTCATTAATGCAAATGGATCATTGATTGACATGCTTAGAAGTGGTTTCAAAATAGATAATTTCCTATTTAATTTACTTATAACATAGCTGCTCTTAGTGTTCATTTTGTTGATAGGTAAAATTAACAAAGAAATGGAAATTATATTTTTACTCATCTGTATGCTTTCTGCTCAAGGCTGTGAGGGATATTTGCATAGGAATTGTGCCAACTCTGCTATAAGACTATTGATCATATTTTCCAAAACAACTTATTTTAAGAATGGTAAGATGCATGGACAGACACAAAATATTGAACTTTTAAAATATTTGTACATACTTCATTTGTTTAACGATAGTACTTTTGCCAGATTCCCCTGCTCCTGCAACAGAAAGATTGGATTATTACTAACTGATACAACACATTTTTACAGATATTAATATGTATGATTGTCACTCCCTCATTGGTAAATTATAGACAAATACCTGTCTTTGAGCAATCTTTTTGTGAAGTCCGGAAAGATATCAACTACTTTCTGGTATAGCAGAAGAAAAGTGAAACTCATATTGATATATACAGACACAGGTCTACTCCAAGGTAGAGTATTTTCTTATTCTTGCATTTGAACATAGTTTGAAAGCTTATTATCTCCTGGGGTTGCAACCCAAGGAAGATATTCTCATATGTAATGTATATCATTTCAAACAGTAGGGTAGAAATATACTAGATCATGTATTACTAGAAATATACTGGGTGATAATCATTTAGTAATGATTATCTAAATGATTATCAGTATGTGGGTGAGAATAAAAATGAGTATAACTCATGAGTGAAAATAATGACAGAATTTGATTAAAATTATCACAAAACAAAAAACAAAATAACTACAATAGATAGGGTAAGGACACAGTACAAAAACAAACTTAAGTTTTTATGTATGCTTGTGTTCGACAAATGTGAGTGAGAGTAGGGAGGGGAGCAAATTCAGGCAATTTCTTGAAGTTTGGAATTTATAACCTTTATTTAAAGACAAAAAAGTCAGGAGTCACTAAGAATTGGTAAAGCCTGGTAATGTGTTCATAATTTTAGATGAAATTATTAAGTATTAAGAAAAACTAATCACTTTATAATTCATACAAAATCATATTTTTCAGAATATAGTCCCAATTCACAAGTAACATACCAATAGAACATTAAAAGATGATATTTATCAAGGGTCTGATTTAAAATACCAGTACATAGAGTTCTAGTTTTCTCATGTTAATTTATGCATCTGCTAAGAGAAGCAAAGAGCTTGATATATTTTGGCATTTCCAGAAACTGGGTGACAAGGCATTCTTCAAAGTCTGTCTGATTATTACTTTTAGACAGATTTCAATAAACACAACTAATCCGAGAAAAGTCCAAATTTAAGAAAACCATTTTATTATCAGCAAAGCAGTCAGCTACTTTATTTTACCAAATTAGTATTTTATGTAAGTAAATGTTACATGACTTTGGTAACTTAAATCTCAGATTTTTACTCAAATTATACTGTAATATGTATTGAAACTGAGGATTCTGAATACCTTATTAAATATTTTAGTCCCACTTTCAATCACTTTATTCTGTTCTCCCTATTCTACTTGTTTTTCTATTGCTTATCTTATTCCACAAACTTACAAATTGCTTATATATTGGTTTACATTTTTTTCTGTTTATCTTCCATCATTACAAGGTAAATTCCACACAGTCTGGGTCTTTTTGTTTGTTTCACTGATATATTTGAAGCACCTAGAATAGTGCCTAATTCAGAATAGAGTATCAACAAAACAAATATATTCTTTAAACTCATACTTTAAAAATATTTGGCCTCCAAATTTTATATATATCTATACATATTAAAGTGCTTCAACCTATAATTGGCAGCATTTTCTTAAACTTTGAAAACATATAACTACAACTGAATTTAATTCTTCATAGCAAATTTGTTTGGTCTAAAGCATCTCTAAATGTGTCTAGTTTTTGCAGTTATCTGAAACAATACATGACATTGAGAAAGTCAGAGTGCTAAAACTATGGGAAATGATATATCATGGCCTGGATGTGATATGTAGATTTTTTCCTCTTGAGTCAGGAGTCACTAAGGCATACTTCTTTTTGTGGTTTTATACTAGGGTAGCCTATACCACACAGTGTGAAATTTGACAAAAAAAGTTGACAGATGTAAAATCAACCATAGTAATCTGCTAATCCTTTTTCAGAGACTGTTGCTAAAGAAAATCAAATGCAAACCTTGATTAGCTAACTTTTATAATAGAGGCTATTTTTAAAAATGTAGCATTTAAGAATAAGATAAACATATCAGTTCATCACTTCCTGAAGACAACTGACTATATTAGTTTGTTGTGGCATTACTTTGTGAAAGTGGCAGAGCAAATCAATGAGCTTTGCATAATACTTTGCTGGCTTAGACAATTCGCTGTTTTGCTCGAGGCTTTTCATCACCTTGAAGGAAAAGTGATTCAATCTGATTCTAAAACTGCTGTTGGTAGTTTTTGCTTTAAACTCTTATGCCAAAATGTACATCAAAATTGTAGTACATCTCACATAGATTACAGATTTAGAGAAGTCTTCTTTTAACATGTATTTTTAATTGTCCTATATAGAAAATTACAGGTAGGGGATACAGTAACAAGGCCAATGGGTCCTTGTGTTTGCAGGTATATTTAGTTTGCATGTTGTTCAATCTGAGTCAAATATTGGGCAAAGATTTCTTTGGCGAAAATCTGAGACTGAGGAAAGGACTCTGATTTATATTACATTTCTTTAAATACTGTTGCAACCCCTATTGTTTTTAAAATGAAATATAGCAATTAACTTCACTTTAATTTAAATCAGTTATCTACATTGAAAATAATTTTAAAAATGTGTACAAGGAATGCTGTACAATCATGCATATGCATTGTGGACAAATACACTCTTAACAAACACTATTAGACATGTAAAAAATTTAAATAACTACTACTAAACTTAGTTTATTCCATATTAGTCAAAAAGTTTTTTTGGGAAAGTGGTCTTTTATACTTCACAGGTAGGGCCAATTGCTAATCATACTGATGATACAAAAACTTAGAAAGTTTCCAAAGTTATTTCTAATTCTTCTACATTTGTTATTATTGTAGATTCTTTCTAACTTAGTCATCCCTGGCATGTCTCAGACAAGCAAGATAACTTGTCACTTTTAAAAAATAAAATGTAGTTTTTTTTTATGAATCCACATATAAAACAATATTTTCTCCTGAAAGACTTTCAAAAAAGGTGTCTGGATCATTTCTTGCACTATGTAGTAATTTCAGTGTTCTATATTGATGTCTACTATAGGTTACTATAGGATCAACAGAAAATTCCTGAAGAAAAGCCAACTTCTTAACTCTGTTGTAAAGTTATTTTAGAAATAAATTAATGAATCCCATTCTCACAATGTTTCTAGGTCTTAGTTCACAATAATCATTCCATTTTTGTAAGATTAGATCATGTTACAGAGCCAAATATAGCTATCAAAACAGCATGTTCACATAGGCTGAGGGCATTCTAAAATAATCTCTGTCTTCAAATTGTGGTCATCACTAAAATTATTATGTGGGTCAAGGGTACAAGAAAATTTTAAGAAGAGATGCATTTATTTCTTTGACTTATAAATTCTTTGAGTAAATAAATATTTAAAGTTATGCTTAGTTCATATTCTAATACTAATGATTTTTTTCCACACTTTTATTTGAAAATAACAAAACCAATTTTAATTGCTTTCATCTTAAGTATGCATGTTGTATTTTAGGTATATACTTAGTTAAGTATTTAAGTATTCATGATATCTATACCTGAAACTGAATTTAAAAGGCTTGATTATTTATTTGCTACAAAGTGTAAAAATAGGCAAAAAGAGAATAGACTGACTTGTAGTCATGAATAAGATTTTTTTTTTTTAAATAGGTAGGAGATCTTAAAAATCCCATAAATGTAGAGAAGAAAGAAAACTTAGTAGTCAATCTTTATGCAATCTCTTCATTCTGTGCATCAGAAGGTTGAGTAGTGTACTTCCACAGACACACCACTGGTTGTCATTTGCTGCTAGGCTGTGTGCATTGAAAATGTAAGTGTAGTCTCTTTTAAACTAATTTAATTTTGATCTGCTTACTGGTCTTCTGTTTTTTTTTTTTTTAAGCAATATGAAAACTATCTGTCTCTTTCACATGAAATGCCTCAAATAATCTAAACTGAAGCTAGAAATTTGCAATAGGCATGTTCGTGTTTGGGGATTAAATAAAAATGGACTTGTACTCACTTCTGATTTTGACTAGACATGTTGATCAGATATAATCGCTGAGAATCACTTTCTTCTTTTATAAGATTGTGTTGCTATATACTTCAGGATTGGGCAGATTGACAAATAGGAAATACTTAGGATGTTCTTTGGACAAAGTAATCTCTCTATTTTAGTTGATGCATGCTCTAACTTTTATCTAAGTCTTTTCAAATATATTATGTTTTGCTCCTTAAATCTTTTCTTGTAGAGCATGATTTCTAGACCACTTACCATCTACCTACACACATTGTAAAGAGCCATTGTCATTCTGAAATACTGGTAGTGAAAATTCTGTCACATATACCAAGATACTTATCGGTAGTACTGATATTCTGATATAGCAGGGTAGGCATGCTCCTAGGTTTGCCCTCATCCTCCTACTGGTTTTCAATTAGAAGTTACTAGGGACCATTATTAATTTATCTTCTGAAAAATAGCTTTATCACATCCTGATACCTATGTTGAGCTTGTAATAAATTTTTTCTATCGTTTTCTCTATATCATCTCTCGCATGTCATGTATGTATTGTTAAATTGAGCCTCAATTAAACATATCTTAAATTACATTTTGTTTATTTGTGGTGACTATTTTTGCTACTTCAGATCACTTGAAATTTTGAATTTCTTATCTATCACTCTATCTCTTCATACTGAATGTTCCTCAACTGTCAAATACTGTATTATCCACCATTATCCAAATATCTGATAAAAACAATATAAGTGACAAAGCCAAGAATATTAATCAGAATGGGTAATTGTTCACTATATGTTAACATTGTCAAGTTCCCATTAAATATGACAATCACTGAAGGTCTTTCTAAGTCCTGTTTATCTTGTTGAGAAAATTACTTTTTATTCTTAGTTAGATAAGCATCTGAGTCAGAAACAAATAGATGAAAGAAATTTCTCCTCTCTGTGTTTACTCATTTATAAAGCCATGGTGGTATTTGTCCTCTAGTGCTTACTTGTGCTGAACACATGTGAATAATAGAGGAATGCTACTACTATTGTACTGATATTTTAACCATACATTCTTGGGATTATCTACACCCCACTATTTAAAAATATTTCATACATTTAAGGAATTTTTTTGCTTTGGGTTTGTGGTTAATTTTACCCCTAAAGTTATCAAATAATATAGTGAAAAAAAATCCCTTAAAAGCTCATATAATTTTAAAATTATTTGCTCAAGAGTTAGTTTGGTAAGATTCACTTGTAAAGCAATAAGGGTTCATTTTCAGATAAATTTTGCATATTTTCAGAAAACAATTATCCAAAGCACTATTTTCCCAAATTTTATTTTAATAATCATGATATCTTAGAAGTTGAAGAAAATGGTACATTAGAACCTATACTTAATATCTTTATCTTTGTCATTTTTGCCATCTTTTATTTACAACAGTTTTCATATGCCATAGTTGTTTTTTTTTTCTTTCAATGACACTTCATTATAAAATTGATGAGGAAGAAAAAGATTCTCAGCTGATAAAGGATATTGTTCAAGAACATCCTTTTCTTATACAAAGACTATAAATCAAAGACTATAAATCAGGGTGTCATTGCATACACGTATTTACTTTCATATGCATAAATATTTTTGTACTTTTTTTGGAAAGCCTTTTAAAAGAACTCAGGCACATCATCTATACTATAAACAGTTGAGAAAGCATTCTAAGGCTATTTTTCCTATAAAGTCATACCAAGCTATCTTCATGCTTAATAAAATTTATATTTAATACAAAATGTTGTATAATTTGTACTCACATTCAAGTTTATCTGCTACAAAATATTTTCATACATTTAATATTTCTTGAATCTAGATCCAATCAAGGTTTTCATATTTCCTTTGGTTATTACATCATTTAACCTTTCAATTTAGAACATTTTACTTATATTGTTATTTTATATTGTTTTGTTATTAGATAACATTGACATTTATCTAAAGTTGGTTATTAATCATGAAGGGTTATTTCAAAATTTGAAAATGTGCATTAGCTCAGTAAATATCAGCATTTCTACTTTTTGTAGTTATGTTCCATCCAAGTTCACATTTTTAAGAGCTAAATGATTCAAACAGTATTTTAAAACAATACAGCTAAGATAGCAGCAATCAAAATTTAGTTCTTTTGAGTATGGGTAATTTGATTAAACACCTGTAACTTGTCTCTAAAACGAATGTTTGAAGTCTACAGTAGAGAATATCTTTATTAGAATTTGCTTCTGTTACTAAAGCGTACTTTTCTGATACCCCTGTATGGGCTAATTTCTTTTAAAATATGTAGTATTATCTTGCTGGCAGTTACAAATGCCCCAGTGTATGCCTATTGCCATCATAAATGTCTATTGTTTCATAGAAAATGGACTTTTGTGAAAGAAACCGATTTGGCATCTCTTTTATAATTGTACTGAATGTCTGAAAGGCATAATAACAAGGGACTCTTTTGGAAGGTCAACCTTTATTTGTAAAGTAGCACTTGGATAGTTTTTTAGGTTCAATGAAATCAGTGTTCAGTAATGCAAAATGGTTCATCTATTTTATGGTACCAATTAAATCTGAAAATTCGTATTATGTGTTTTGGCATCTAGTAATTCATTAGATAGTTAGAAGATGAACAGATAGAATGAATTATATAAAATATTTTTTAGATCTCTGATTTTCATAAATGTAGCTTTCGACTCAAAATCTGGTCACTGATAAGGCTAACTAGGTAGTCCTCTATGCATACATCCACTGATAAAGTTAACTCTTGTTCAGTTCATAATGATGAATAATCATTTCAGTGATGGGGTACATTAGAGTTCATTGGTGCGAGAATATAGGGTAGGAGGCTAGAAAGATTTAATTTAGTTACTCTTTTGTTTCTGGTTGTATTTAAGTTTTCTCTCCCACTACTTTTGTGTGTGTGTGTGTGTGTGTGTGTGTGAGCCTAACTAGAGGTTTGTCCATGATACCTTGATGATGGGTGTGGTATGGTAAAACACCTGAAGTACATGATCTTATACCTCTGAATTATACACAGTATTGTAAAACCATGAGGTCTCCAGTTAAGAACAACAGTTCTATTGATTTTTAATGACAGAAAATTGAGTATGACTATTAGAGCACTGAATGTAATTCAAAACAAAAAAACTATTGTTACAAGACTTGGTTGTTTTGAACTTGACTATCAAATCACCATACATATAACTCAAAGAAGGGAAAGCTTAAGTGTTTGGAATATAGTTGAAATAGGGGGAGCTTATGAGAACTTGGTTTATTTTGTATAAGTAAAAAGTGACTGAGAAGTTCAGTATATATATTGCTGGAACAAAATAAGTCCAAGCATATTGTATGTTAATGATGAAAATGAATTTGTGAAATGTTGACTGCCTTGGGAAAATAAAATATAGTGTGTGACCACCTAGTAGTGATACTATCATATCCCTAGTACAAAAATGTATATATGTGTGTATATATATATATATATATATACGTTTTAATTGATTTAACTCACTACTGTAATCTACAAATACTTGGCATATTGAAAACATGTTTATTTTTTAGAAATTTTATTAAAACATAGGAGTTTTAAATGTATTTTATCATCCTTTTATAACATTGCTCTTAGTACAAGAAGGACACAGATGCATTTGCAGGAATGCTTGGCTTTTCCTCTCCCCTTAAATTTGCTTTTTCTAGGTCACACTTTTATTCTTGATCAAAGTGTTATCTTGGAGAATACTTTGGTGTGTCAAGAAAAGTATATTTGCTGGTTTCATAAGATCTGTCACCAGTATTCTTGTAAGTTATCAACCTCTAGATGATTACTTGAAAGAGCTGTGGCCAAAGGTGAACCAAAAAATTGAGCAAAAAGATGGAGAACTTATTTCCTTTCCTTTGAGGAACTAGTGTTGGCAATTCTATAGTTTGTTTCTAAGAAATACTTGTCTTAGGGGAAACGTTTAAAAATTATGACATGAGAACAATTTTCATGTAAAGGATCCCCAATTTTGAAAAAAGTCATTTCTGTATAAGACTAGGAAGTACAGTTGTGATTAAAGTTCTTCTTATCATATATATGTATGATGCACATTTACCTAAAAATGCATTCATTTCCTTTTGATTAGTAAATATTATATTTGTATAATAACCAGTATATGGTATAATATTTATTTTCCTTTAATTCATTGACCGTTGATTGAATTTATAGTTGTGCTACAGTAAATTTCAAAGAGACATGACTCCTGATTTGAATGAATGTACAAATATCCTGAAAAGTTTAAACGATGTATTTTTCAAATACACAGAGAATAGTACAGACAGTATGCTGAAGCTTGGATAATAGTATTAATAAAATTTAAACTATACTATATTTTATATTTAGTTTCTAAATAATGAGAATAACTGATTTTAACCACAAAATTACTTAAGAAACATTTACTAAAATCTCAACACTGAACATATTTCTGCTCAAATACAATAACAGATCATTTTAACTTTTAATTTATATTTTAGTAAAATACTGCTAAACTTCAGGAAATGATTAGGATATGATAAAATAATAAACATATATGACATTTCTTTTAATTACAGTAAAGTTTCTTAGGGACATAGATAAATTATAATTTGATAAGTATTTGTACTTCAGCTTACCAATCATGTAATAAAATCCTATGGAAATATTAATATCACTACAGTGCACATACAGAATCTCATTTCTGAACACTTTTCCATAATAAATCTGCTATAGATTTTAAGCATTTTAAATTCAAGTTTGAGAAGAATATATATCACAACTGAAGAAAACATTATAATTTCAAAAGCAAAGGAAAATATTACCTAATAACAGCAACTTTACAGTTCTTGCATCTCGTTCAGCATCTTGCTGAAGCTTTTTCTCCAGTTCTTTTGATCTTTTAGCTGACTCCTTGCTCTCCGAACTAATTCTACTTCCCATCTTCTGGGGTTGAATACTTGTCAGTTTATTTGCTCACACGTCTTCAAATGTAGAGCACAGCTCTGGCTTAGACATAGGGTGCAAGGCAATGATCCACTGAAGCCCCGACAGCCCATTCCCTCATGGCTCCACTTCTACTTTGACTAAAGAGATGCTTTCTAATCTGTCACCTGATCAGACTAAAAGTGTTCATCCCTGATGGAAACTGAAGAGGACACTGATTATGCTTTCAAATTACATGGAAAATTCCATCATATCTTTGAAAATTTCACTTCACTTAAAGAAAGTGTACATTAATGTAGAAAGTCATCCAAATCTACACAGTAGAGATAATCTACAATGATCATTTCAAATAACGGACAGTTTCTCATTTATTACTCTGATTTCAATTGATTATTAGTGATCAACAAGCTTTTATCTTAAATTTGGACTTTCAGTCTTCTTATTCTTCATAAGCAATCCAATATCACTATAAAAGATATTTATATTAAATTATCCAAATTTACATCGTCTGTGTGGAGCTTATGTCTTAAAATGGTAATGACTCTCTTAGTATTTGTAATTTAACTACAAAACACCTTTATATAAAAAAATGGAACCAAATTTAGTTCTTACATTCATACATACTGTTGTGCTGACACACACAGAAGACAATGCACAGTGTTCCTAAATTATTGATTTTGGTCTCATAATATTCGTCTCTACAAATTGAGCTTTTACTGCTTGTGAGAAATTCAATCCATCAACATTAATTGAGGGTCCACTTGGTGTAGATACTAAATCATGTTCAATTGAATCTGTGCATTAACTCTTTGGGCCCATTACGTAACAGCTGCTGTGCAGGAAGGCAGTTATTGATTTGATACCAAGGGAATAAAAAGCAGTGTTCTTTGAAATAGCAGATAATTTGATTCTTCCTGAAAATAACTATACCTAAAGATGTTCCATGCTTTTCAGCTCTCTCAATGGACATCTTGAACCTGAAGTTCTGCAAGTATGGGGACACAGGTTTTGCTGCATAATATATTGTTTACATTAAGCATAAAATACTTGTTAGGTGGTCAATATTTTCTTTATAAGCAGAGTTGCATACCTGGGGAAGCAGACAAGTCTTTTAGTGTGCATTTTGAAAGTCATGACTATGCCTCACCAGGAAATGCTAGTGTACTCTCAACCCATCAGCCTGTCAGAACTGTTATAGTGAGAATGCTTGTAAAATTTGAATATTTGAGTTTGCATATTGATACAACAAAACAGACTGCCAAATCGAACATATATTCCTGCTTTGTTTTTTACAGAACATATTAGACCACATATATATATGTATTAGCATAGTCAAAACATTTGAAATTCATTCCTTTAAAGCCATGCTATGATAAAGATGTTGAAAGGTTGCTAGGTAAGGGCTCTTGCAAATTATGTGGTTCTGCTTTTACAATGCAAAGGGCCTGCCCTGTAGGAACAAGATTTGCACTGCCTAAGGTTATTTATACTCACTCATGAGCAGAGTTTACTCTGAGAGCTACAGGAATACCAAAGCATTAAATCTTTTTCAGTGGTTTTTTTATCTAATTGAGTACACATGAAACAATTACTATATATGAGTCTTGTAAATAGCAGCTATAATCTGAGATTTGTCATATAATTTAAATTAATGTAAATCTATCCCATGGCATTTTGGCAGGAATATACCCTGGATTTGAAATGGTATGTGTATTCCCAAGACTTCTGAGTTACTAACAAAAACTCATCCGCTCTTCTAGGGGTGGCCTGGGGAGTGTATGTTTTCTGTACTATTTAAGATTATGAACTCTCCCTTCCTTTTAAAACTCAGGTTAAATCATCAAGTTTATGAGATTCTTATGTTATTTTCATCAGTGGCTAAAATAATCAACATAAAATTTGAGATGTATCTATATTTAGGGGAGGGAGACTGGAAAGAGTCAGAGAAAAGAGAAAAGCTTATTTCTTACTCCTCTCTCCTGGGTGCCTGCAGCACAACTTCACTAATGAGCAGGGGTAGTTACTGCAGCTATATCCATGGTGACTCACTTAGGATTGGGGCTTTCTAATCCTAAGAAAATTGATGCAAATAAAATGGTGAATTATTTGCACAATAGTTTGGATGTCCTTCACAGTACTTACACAGTACTAACCATAGGAAATGTTAAATATTCTTGCTGATCAATTGATATAGATTTGGAGGAAATTTTTTCCCTTGTACAGCTCTGAGGTTGACAGTGTAGTTAGTATTTTTTCTATGGTTCAATGCACTGGTAGCCCTACCTCAACATAGTAAGTTTATAATGACAAAACAAAATCAATGAAAAATTCCACTTTTAGCTGAAAGAGTGTAAATGTACATAACTATGAGCCATAGACCAACATAAAAAGTTCTGGAAATTTAATTTTTTTTTTCTTAAAGGTAACACCCTTTCTACTTTTTTTTTTTTTTTTTTTTTTTTTTGGTGGTTGTTGTTACACTTTGCTCAATAGTGAGGGGGAATTGTTAATAGCTAAAGGAAACTAAATTACTCCTTTTTTATTCAGGGGGAGATATAGCCATAAATTTTGTTTGTTCTTGAAAGCAAGGACCATAGATCTCATAGACACTAACATCACAGTATTTTATTTGTCAGCTGAGAGAATTTGTACATACTGAGACACATGTGTGTGTCCACACACCCGTGCACACACCCAGAAAAAAGAAGGCATTGTGTTGGAGCATTGGGATTATTTTTATGATCTGTAAGATTCTTTTTTAAACTGTTTTAACTTTAAAATTTCTTTTATTTTTAATTGTGCTAATATTTGGATATTCCCATCACATATTACCCCCATAGTGTTGTTTTTAGAAATATTTATTGAGAATGGATTTTCAGAACCATTTGAGTTTTTTTGTATCACAGCTTTGGCCAAATGGGAATATCTTCTTTTAGCCCTAAATTGTACACTACAGAGACGTGACTTGAAGTAAAATATAGAAATGAGCAAGCCCTCAGCTCTAAAGGTCACTGAAATAGCACAGGCTTGGTGGGTGTGATAATTTTTCCTCCTGTTATTTGTGGTCAAAGTCTTTGTGGAAACTTCAAAAGGGAACATTGCCCTTAAAAGCTTGAGTAATCAGTACTATATATTTGCAATTCTACATCTAGCAGAGATAATGCACATCTACTTCTAATTTGCTTTTAATATTGTGTTTTGGAGATGTCTCTTCTGCTAATATTGCTTATAGTCATCAAATAGATGGCCTCCAAGAATGTGATAGGTGACTGTCTCCAACCACTCAGCTCTTTGTGGAAATGGTCAATACTGACTGTCTTGTATATTGTTCTTTATCGTGTTTCCATATCTTAAGGGAGGTGTTGACTTCAGGCATTGATTGGGTCTCCCTGGGTGTTTTGAGTCATTGCTGCCTTAGCAATGACCTTTATCCTCACATATTCCCATGAAAATTGAGACAAATCATCCTTCCTTTGCTAATGGTACTCAAATGTACACTTCTGGGAGCTATGAGTATGGTATTTTCTCAAAAGAGTTTATACACCTTGGGAATTCCTGAGTGCAGTCTTTTGATCTTGAGGGAATAGGGCAAAACTTACTGGCTCAAGTTATTACATTTAGATGGTGTAATAAATATACAATGCCAGCATTAAGCAGCTCTTATATCTTAAGAAGTGACACAGATGATATTTTTATTCAGGCAGTTTATTTCTACCTTTACTTTCTTTATGGATAAGATCATATGTAATTAGAAATAAAAATAAGTGTTACAAGCCTAATTGACAAAGACGAGAGTTCCAATAATTTGCTAAAGGGCCTCATCTTGTCCAAAATGATCACTCTTTCAATATTTTTGTACATCTTCTCTACACATTTCCATTACTTAACTACCTTAATTCTTTCTTCACAAACTTCAATTCTGATCATTCCAGCCATCTTTTATATAGGTTCTTGATTCTTTACTCTGATTTATCTCAGTTTAACTTAGCTGATTTGTGCCAGGCTAAATTTTCTCAAAGCTGCTTCATTGTTATCCTTACTGAAAATACAAAGAATACCATATTTATTACTACATTCTGTCTTATGCTTATCACCATACACTCAATAATCTGCCTATTACCATTCAACTCTCCAAACATTTTCCATTGATACAAATAAATTCTCTTTTACGGCTGGACTTTTAACTCTTTCCTACTTAGGTATCTCATCTTAGCTTTCACATGCTATTTCCCCTCATTAAAACTTTCTTGGGTCCTCCCTGGTGGCGCAGCGGATTAAAGCACAGCACTGAGAAGCTAAAGCCACTTCCACATGAGTTCGATTCCCACCTGCCCAGGAGGTGACCACATGGCGTGGCAGACCTCTCCTGACCCGCCCGCTGCTCCCCTCAGCAGTGTGCTTCGTCGATCTGCCTGTTCTGCTCCCCACTCTGTCTCTGGTGAATCCTCTCACCCTCCGCATCTCTGGCCTGTACCCCAGTTCAGTATGAAAAAATAAATAAATCTTTAAAAAAAAAAACTTTCTTGATGTTTCCACACTGAATTTCATAGTATCTATTCTCTAAGAAAGCCTAATAAGTTCTGCATTATGCTTCACATTATGCTGCCACTGATTGGGTGTGCTTTACTTCTGAAATTCTTAAGAGGAGTCTGCATTTGGTCAGTTTGGCCTTCCTCATTAACCTGGCAGGGCACTTTCCATTGATCATGCCATATGATTCTTCTCTTTTGCTGTCAGGCATTAAATGGAGAGAATGTAGAAGAACATCATGTCCATTGAAATAGTTGATGAATAGTGATATGGTGCTTGATAGCAATATGGTGGTGTTTGAAAATTATTTGTTCTATCTTAGAAATGCATTATTCTCTTCCAAATGATTACGAGTGTGATATGTTAGTTCTAAAATTACAGGAATTTATCTTTTAAACAATTGATGTATTAGACAATTGTTATATGCCAACATAGGATATTCTGCAGTAAATAAAAATAGCTAGATGCTACTTCTTTATAGAATTTAAATTCTAGTTTGTGAGTATATAGGGTCTTTTACTCAGACAGACTGTAAAAGTGGTAAATATTTAAAGTGTATAGAATTATA